GGGGGGGGGACCACTTTAAGGAAATGTTTCGCTTTTATTGAACAGCCACTTCATCAACTTTCCCTTGCAGTTCCAGTTGCAAACACAGCCTAAAATGGAGGAAAAAAAATTATATTTTAACAACTAAGTCCTTGATGGTTTTATATTTTTTTTTATAATGGTGGTGTTGCATTTTATAACCACGAATCTCTGGTCTGATCTCTTGGACCACCTCCATGAAGCCATGTGCTCCTCTCTATTCTCATCCTGAGCTGCCATCTAGCTGCAGCCTTTGGGTTTGCTCCTCCATCCAGTCCGAAGTGATTCCTTGGGCTGCAAAACCCCACTCAGCCTGGAGCTTAGGGTTAATAAAAGTGTTAGTCTTTCCTGGCTGAAAGCGGTCTCTCCCCTCCAACAAGGGGCTGACCCCTCAGGCCGCCTTTTTGTGGGGACAGGCCTTGGGCTGTGGGGAGCCCTTCGTGGGTGTGTGTTTCTGTTTTACCTCAAAGCAGGGCAGAGTCTGCGCCCACAGTTATAGATTTAGGTTGGAAGAGACCTTTCAGATCACTGAGTCCAACCATCGACCCAACACTGACAAAATCCACCAGTAAACCATGTCACTGAGCACTGTGTCGACCCGTCTTTTAAATACCTTCAGGGATGGTGACTCCACCATTTCCCTGGGCAGCTTCTTCCAAGGCTTGACAACCCTCTCGGTGAAGATGTTTTTCCCAATATCCATCCTAAACCTACCCTGGTGCAACTTGAGGCCGTTTCCTTTTGTTCATTCACTCGTTCCTTGGGAGAAGAGACCGACCCCCCCTGGCTACACCCTCCTTTCAGGGAGTTGGAGAGAGCAATAAGGTCTCCCCTCAGCCTCCTCTTCTCCAGGCTGAACACCCCCAGCTCCCTCAGCCGCTCCTCACCAGACGTGTGCTCCAGACCCCTCACCAGCTCCGTTGACCTTCTCTGGACACACTTTGCACCTCAATGTCTTTTTTGTGGTGAGGGGCCCAAAGCTGGACCCAGCCCTCGAGGTGGGACCTCACCAGTGCCCAGTACAGGGGGATGATCACCTCCTGAGTCCTACTCCCTATGCTGTTCCTGAGACAGGATGCTGGTGGCCTTCTTGGCCACCTGGGCACACTGCTGGCTCATGTTCAGCTAACAGGTGACCAACACCCCCAGGTCCTTTTCCACCAGGCAGCTCCAGCCACTCTGCTCCAGGCCTGGAACCTTCATGGGGTTGGAGTGACCCAAGGGCAGGAGCCAGCACTGGTCCTCATCACACCTCAGACCAACCAGCATGTCCCGATCACTCCCTGGAGCCTTCCTGCCATCAAGGAGTTCCCCACTCCCGCCCAATGTGGTGTTGTCTGTGGCTGAGGGCGCCCTCAATGCCTGTTGATATTAGAATCAATCATAGAGTTGTCTTGGTTGGAAAGGACCATAAAGATCATCTAGTCCAATCATTAACCTAAAAATAAATAAGGAATAAGCAATAATAATAAAAAAAAATCACTAAACCGTATTCTTGAGGACCATGTCACCCCATCTCTTGAACACCTCCAGGGATGGTGCCTCAACCACTTCCCTGGGCACCTATTCCAATGCTGGATAATCCTTTCCCTGAAGAAATGTTTCCTAATCTCCGTGGCTGCGGTGATGACTTTCTTAGGACACCTTTGGATTTAATTATGAAAACAAAGCGTAATTTCTGAGCGGCTCCTCGCTAAGGCCAACAATCCCTATTCTACTTATCTTAAAATCTTCGTATATGGGTTTTGAATTTATGTTTTTAATTGCAGTTAAGATCCCAAAATGGTGCGCTACTCCCTGGATCCGGAGAACCCCACGAAATGTGAGTTGTTATTTTTTTTTTTTTTTTAATCCTGGAATTTCGGGGCTGATTTTCACCAAAACCTTTAAAGCTTTAATTTTGAAAGTCCTCCTTTTCTCTCCGCAGCGTGCAAGTCACGGGGATCCAACCTGCGAGTGCATTTCAAGGTACGCCGTCTGCGTAGTAAAAAACGCGAATTTATTCGGTTTGGGGGTTTTAACGTTGGTTTTTGTTCGTATTTTTTGATGGAAGGCCCTTTTTTTATTATTTTACTGGGTTTTATGCCATTACTCGAGTGTCTTAGTGCAGGGTATGGCCTGCATTTGCTTGAGCTGCTCGTGATGGTTTTCGTCTCCAGGAGTGAAAATAAGATGGTGTGTCTTAAAGAGCTTCCCCACTTCATGTGGGGAATAAAATACAACAGGAAAACAGGAGGAATCTCTATGCTGTTCCTGAGACAGGATGCTGGTGGCCTTCTTGGCCACCTGGGCACACTGCTGGCTCATGTTCAGCTAACAGGTGACCAACACCCCCAGGTCCTTTTCCACCAGGCAGCTCCAGCCACTCTGCTCCAGGCCTGGAACCTTCATGGGGTTGGAGTGACCCAAGGGCAGGAGCCAGCACTGGTCCTCATCACACCTCAGACCAACCAGCATGTCCCGATCACTCCCTGGAGCCTTCCTGCCATCAAGGAGTTCCCCACTCCCGCCCAATGTGGTGTTGTCTGTGGCTGAGGGCGCCCTCAATGCCTGTTGATATTAGAATCAATCATAGAGTTGTCTTGGTTGGAAAGGACCATAAAGATCATCTAGTCCAATCATTAACCTAAAAATAAATAAGGAATAAGCAATAATAATAAAAAAAAATCACTAAACCGTATTCTTGAGGACCATGTCAAGCCATCTCTTGAACACCTCCAGGGATGGTGCCTCAACCACTTCCCTGGGCACCTATTCCAATGCTGGATAATCCTTTCCCTGAAGAAATGTTTCCTAATCTCCAATCTAAACCTCCCCTGGCGCAACTTGAGGCCATTTCCCCTTGTCCTATCTCCTGCGACTATTAAAAGACATTAAAAAGACCAGGCCCCACCGCCTGTCCAAGCTCTGAGACTTTATAGACGGTCCCTAAGGCTCCCTTCGCCCCGCTCTGGGCGCTGCACCTCCGCCCCGCTCCCTGGCGGAAATCTCGCGAGAGCTGACGGCTCTCCCCGCTCCCGGCATGCCCCGCTCTTCCTCTTCCCCGCCGCCGCCCTGAGGTGAGGGAGCCATGGCGGGGCCGGGACCCTCCGCATCCCTTCTCCATCCCCTCCCATCCCGGCCCGCCAGCCCCGGGAAGGCGGCGGAGGGGCGAGGGTTGGGTCCGCCTCACCGGACGCCCCCGGTATTTGCGGGGGAGGAGGGGATGGGGGTTGCGGGGGGGTGGGGGGGGGGGTGAGGGGGAAGCGGCTGTGGGGACAGGCCGGGGCTGCGGGGATGACTTTCTTAGGACACCTTTGGATTTAATTATGAAAACAAAGCGTAATTTCTGAGCGGCTCCTCGCTAAGGCCAACAATCCCTATTCTACTTATCTTAAAATCTTCGTATATGGGTTTTGAATTTATGTTTTTAATTGCAGTTAAGATCCCAAAATGGTGCGCTACTCCCTGGATCCGGAGAACCCCACGAAATGTGAGTTGTTATTTTTTTTTTTTTTTTAATCCTGGAATTTCGGGGCTGATTTTCACCAAAACCTTTAAAGCTTTAATTTTGAAAGTCCTCCTTTTCTCTCCGCAGCGTGCAAGTCACGGGGATCCAACCTGCGAGTGCATTTCAAGGTACGCCGTCTGCGTAGTAAAAAACGCGAATTTATTCGGTTTGGGGGTTTTAACGTTGGTTTTTGTTCGTATTTTTTGATGGAAGGCCCTTTTTTTATTATTTTACTGGGTTTTATGCCATTACTCGAGTGTCTTAGTGCAGGGTATGGCCTGCATTTGCTTGAGCTGCTCGTGATGGTTTTCGTCTCCAGGAGTGAAAATAAGATGGTGTGTCTTAAAGAGCTTCCCCACTTCATGTGGGGAATAAAATACAACAGGAAAACAGGAGGAATCTGGCTGGTGTTTCACAAAATATCTGTATTTTTTGGCTTAATTCTGTATTATTTTGATTCTGTTTTGCACTTTCATCGTGGTTATAGTTACTCTCTGATTTTCCTACTTAGTGCTTTGTCTTAAATACTGATACTTCATCCTCAATTTTTCTTTCTGAGTCTTTTCCTCTCTTTAATAATTCCGTACAGACATAATTAGATTTTTTATAACTTGTTTATATATCTTATTTTTCAACATTTTCTCTGAGGTGCTATATTTGACGTTTTCGTAGGAATTCATCTTTCAGGCTCTTCCTTTTTTGGGCTTAGTGGCTAAGAGGAGCTATGAAAAGTATAAATACTCCAATTTTAATTTTGCTGGTTGGAAAGATTTAGGTATTCTCAACGTTTCCTCTGAGGTGCCATATTTGACATTTTGGTAGGAATTAATCCTTCAGGCTCCTCCTTTTTTGGGCTTAGTGGCTAAGAGGAGCTATGAAAAGTATAAATACTCCAATTTTAATTTTACTGGTTGGAAAGATGTAGGTATTAGGTAGAAAAAAAACATATAAAGATATGCCAGGGCCAAAAATTAAGGAATGGAAATCACACCAAGGGTTAGAACAGTAGGTAACAAAATAAAATCAAGCGTTTTGAATTATTTTTTCTTTTTGCTAAGTTTTTGGGTCTGTGCAAGGGCTGCTTTTATAATTAATTTGAAGCAGAAAGGATAGGATCCATGAAAGGAAGAGAAATGTTTTTTCTTGTTCCATTTTAACACAGAAATATGATGGAATTCTTCTTTCTGTCCCTAGAACACTCGTGAGACCGCCCAGGCCATCAAGGGCATGCACATCCGCAAGGCCACCAAGTACCTGAAGGATGTCACCCTGAAGAAACAGTGCGTCCCCTTCCGCCGCTACAACGGGGGGGTCGGGAGATGTGCCCAGGTGAGGTCCCGGGTGGAAACGAGGGAGGTTTTGGCTAGAGAGAGAAAAAATGGTGTTAAAACAGCGTTGAGAGAGTCTGTTGTTATTTATGATAATTTATATATAAATGAAGGGTGGGGAAGGAACCACAGAGTGATATGGGGTTGGAAGGGACCTCTGGAGATCATCTCCTC